ATTTTAAAATATAATTTTTGCTCAGTAGAATGGGAATTAGCTGTTCCAGAAACTTCAAAGAATTTACATGTGACTTTTTTTCTGCAGCATCAGCAGCTGTCTAACGATACTGTATTTACAATAAATGCTTGAAGCCATTAAATCAAAAGTGTATCTCAAATAAACATTTTTTTTAAAAACAGAGTGAATATTCTTCTATATAGCTGCAGATCTGTAGCTCACTGGTCTGGGGAAAAAAATGAAACGGACGACCAGAGCTCCAGGACCACCAGCTGAAAAAAGTATTTTTATAGTTCACAAAAAGTGCGATGTTTTAGTGGGGTATTTTAGAGGCATATACGTCCTTTTTTCATGATTTTGGGTTCTTGTGTAATCTTATCTAGACTAATTTTTTAAAAAGGTAGAACGCTCGTTTATCACCAAATTCAAAACATTCCAAAACAACACTCTTTTAAAGAGATAAAAATGCATTTCGTTTCATACAACTAAAAAGATATACATGTGCATTCGAGGTTTTCTCGGGTTTGACCGCTCCTCTGCGGTAGAAAGAGGTAATCGGAGTTACTGCTCTTTGATTGATATACATTCTGCCTAAGGACAACACCACCCTCATCGTCGGAAACCCACGGGTGATAAACTGGTAAAGACGAGATCACCAGTGGGTTTCCGACGATGCACCACCCTTAATCCTGACTGTTCTTCAGAGAAGATTAGTGGTACCAATATTAACCCATGATCAATGACCTTGATTTGAACAGTTTGAGTTTAAAATAACTGAGGAAGCTTGCATATAGCGGGTGGGGACATGAGTTGAGCAAACTCGAATATACATATCAAAATGACTAATCATCTAACTGTTGTGAATGTCGTTTACAGGAAGCTTTAAAACATAGATGATGAAATAAAAAGACAGTGGTTGTTACCCCCACCCCACCCTGACTCCCTTTTTTCGTGTTTGTTTTAAATATCCAGTTGGAAAACTTGAGCTTTTAAAATGCTCCTTTCCATGCTACACAAATGATTCAGTTTCGTATCAATCAATATCCAGTTGGAAAACTTGAGCTTGTAAAATGCTCCTTTCCATGCTACACAAATGATTCAGTTTCGTATCAATGGTGTTTAAGAGTCAAGTATAAATCACCGCGAATCTAAATTAAGGTGCCTCGACCCCACACTTTAATGGGTTGAAAATAGATAAACGCAGTTTTTTTTCAATTAAAAAACTACATGTATTTGTTTTGCTTAAAGGTTCTTTTATATAAGATTGATAGTTTTATATAATAGTTTCTAGAAGTCCAATAAATGGAAACGCAGCGTGAGTAAAAGGTAGTTTAAAACACATAATTAGTAAATCACTGTATAACTGTTATACATTGGGAAATGCAATTTTTGCCACAAGTATGCCAACTCAATGAGCACAAGCATTCTCAAAGTCTGCCCTTTATCACTGTGTCCTTGAATCTTATATTGACCTCAGAGAACTGGGACGAACACGAAGTCTTTATCATCTAGAAACAATGAAGAGAATAAAAGATTAATGGATCAGATTTAACTTACTTATTGTGACAAAGAGAAGATACAAATATTCTCCCCGATGTGGTGTCTATGTCATTCGTAAACATGTATAATCGTTTAACTAACAAAGGATTATTCAAAGACATAAAATATCCTGGCTCGGTTTACCACATTAAACTTTTCACCTGACTCTGAAGCATTAAAAAAAGGTTGACCGTTAATATTTTTAACGTAATCTAAATACATCTTAAAATACAGAGCTTAAGGCATCAATTTACACCAACCCCTCAAATGTCTTGGTTTATATTTTCACAAAGACATACTTTTTAGAGACATTGTGAAAAGTGAATATCAGTTTTTTCTACAATGTAGCGACAAACAACGCATCTATCATTACAGTACAAACATATATGCATATCTTATGCGTTTTCATTTCGATGTTCACTTTCTTTCGTCTTTAAAAATGCTGACCTTGTGTTTAAAGGAAGATTTCTTTTTTAAAAATCCTGATTTATGCATAACATGTTTATACAAAATGTGTTTGTGAAACTGATTTCCCCGTATGGCAGCCTTTGGCGAAGGTTAAATTGAGTTTATGAGGCGCCGTTTTGGTATTTATTGCCAAAGAGTGATATCACCCATTAGAATAGGTGATATCACCTATTCAATTGGTGACATCGCCTATTCGAATTAGTGATATCACCTATTTAGATTTTGAATAGGTGATATCACCTATTCGAATAAGTGATATTACCCATTTAAATATGTGATATCACATATTTGATTTGAATTGGTGATATCACATATCACTTATTCGAATTGGTGATCACCTACTGGAAATGAATAGGTGATATCACTAATTTAAATAGGTGATATTACCTATTCGAATAAGTGATATCACCTATTCGAATATAGGTGATATCACTTTTTACCAGTAAATACCAAAACGGCGCCTTATGTCAAATGCATCGTAAACGTCAAGGTCAAATGTTAGAAAATGTTGTTTTCCAAAGAAAGAACTTGTATCAATGAATATACCTGTGAAATATTGAAAGCCAAAGAACCAATCGTTCAAAAGTTTTGCTGGCCAAGGTCAAAGTTTTTTTAAAAAGTAAGTCAAACTCAAATGTCAAGGTCAAAATTTAAAAGCCCTAGCCTTAACAGTTTAAAAGTTATGGCCAAGGTTAAAGTTTTTTCGGAAACAGGCCAAACTCCAAGGTGAGAAAGTCAACATTGAAAAAGGTTAAATGCACCGTGTATATCCCAAAGTGTGGGGTTTATGCTCTGTTGTGCAGGGAGTATATGCGTTCAAAGCGATAGACAGGGGGTCAATGAGTTACGTTTTTGTCCATTAAACATGATAAAGTATGGTGGGGTGGAATTTTGCCCTGAACGATTACTTTGCCCATTAACCAGTGTCAGGGTACAAGTCTACCCCAGTCGACCCTCTGAAACTGATTTGCAGTCCTAAACTTCTGGATGTTGTAAAACACATCTTGTTTTTTCAGCAATAATGGAAATCGTTCCAAAAGATACTTTGATTCATTTTGATTTAGTTTAATTTAATGGTAAGAAATTTTATTTGATGAAAGACAAACTCTGCTATGTTAGTCTTAAAAATTAATTTGTACTTATGAAGACGTTACATAAGGGACCAACCACTTTACAATCATTCATCTAATCCATACAGAAAAAAATCTTCCAGTTCTACATGCAGCTTTGATGTTTATTCAGGAAAACATGCATGTTTATGTCTAATGTATCTATATACATATGTAGTACAGATGCAAAGTTAATGTCACAAAAGACCAAACCCCTTCAGATATTGCAGATTAAATTCAGTCATTTCGAATACAGGATAGACAGTCTCCCTCGGTACTCATTTAGAGTCTTCAATAATTCATGAACTAATCCGAATGAGACTTTGGGTTTGAATGTGCTCTTAGTTATATAATTTGGCATTTCCATTCCCGGAATCCGACATTCACAAATCTCTAGTTATCTTGTATTATTTATTCTCTGGACAATACTTTGTTTGGGAGAGACAGTAAAAATGTCAAAACGAATATCGAAACATATCACTTTTTCCAATTCAAATTCCTATAAACTCTATGTACGCAAAATGTCAGTAAGTATCAAGACCATTATTGGTAATTTTACTATCCACACGGCATTGTAGAACAGCCGCAAGGATGTAATTTCAATATAGCATGTTATGTATACTATCATCTCACGTTTAGTCTTCCCAGTGTTCAACCAGGAAAGTTTTCAGTTTGAAATTTCTATTAAGGTCGAAGTAAGTTTTTTTTTCAATTACATGCAATACTACCCTCAACTTGATCAGTCAAGTAATAAGTAAAATTTTACTACATCGTGTTAATTCCCTTAACCCCTTCACTTCCGTACCGGTCAAATTGACCGGTGGCGCGTTAAAACACGACTTCGCGAAAATAAGATCTTCGTATCTATTTTATGGTAGCATGAAGGTATATAAACTATATATCATCTTTTTGGAAATTTTCTCTACTTTTAAAATATCTTAAAAGATTATGTCTTGATTGCTGGTATTTAATCGATTTTACGTTGTAAAGACAAACGTGACTTTTTGAAAATGGCGTAATTTTCCAAAGCAATTGCCGATTTTCCGAACGATTGACATTTTTTTCCTGATTAATTTTATAAAGAAAGTATGGTATATTCTTAAAGCATATTTTCTCTGCTTTTAAAATATGTAAAAATTATTGTTATTACTTTAAAGTATATTTTTAAAACAAGAATTTTCTTGCACTTATGTGTTTTTTCTCGATTTTATTAGTAATGTTTAAACAAAGCTCAGTTTTACGTTATTTTCTGTGTTGAAATAGGGAAAACAAAATAAAGCTGGTAAAAGTAGAGAAAATTTCCTTTCCAGCAAGCCCTTACAGCCCTTCTTACGCCCAGTATTTTCTTAATTACGATAATTTGAATTTATGACCTTCGCATAGTTTTTATGGAAAAATCAGTCAATATTTACCTGTAACGTCAAGGTCGACAATGTTGCGTCTTACTCGAAACAACAAATTCTTTTATAAGACTTTTTTGACCATTTCAATAGATATTTTTACTAAAATAAATGCACAATACAAAAAAATAGATTTCAAAAAACAAATATATACTATTGTTCTGCATTTTGTGTGAAATGAAATGTCAATTTATTCATCCACATGTAATGATGTAAATTTCATGTAGTGATATACAATGTTGAGAAAAATTGTAGCCTAAACGTCGCGATCGATCTTTACTAAAAAAAACCCAGATTTTAATATCGTTGTATCTTGTTATACTGTATACTTAATTTGCAATTTAATTAGATCTATATTGGCACGAAATTTAACAATACAAAAACTCGCATTTATAAATAAATACGACTCATTACTGTATGAGTTGATACGAATTGAAATAACCACGTGTTTCCGCTATGGCAGTAAACAAACAACATTATGATAGGGGATCCGAAATCTGAACGTCAATTTTCATGATTATTTCAAGACGAAGATCATCACATCAATGAATCAAATAATACGGACATGACTTTGGTATTAGCAGGTGAGAATACGTGTATATTGACTGAATAGTTTATAAGTTTAAAACGAAATTAGTTCACGTTCAAAAGAAAACTAAGTGTACACGTACTATAAATAGATCTTCATATTTCTGTGTGCATATTTCGTATTGTTCAGCCAATTTTGTGTTGCTTTTAAACTTTGATGCTATTGACGATCACTCGAAAGTTCAAAGTAAAATCAAAAGTTGCCATAATAATGGATAGTTGTTTTCAATATGTGTGTACCAGTGTGTACATGTACCACTTTCACATTGAATTTTTAGGGTGCTGGCACCATATGCAACAATAGATCTACTTTCATCTGTGAATACATGTACCCACTTGCTAAGCCCACCATGAACTACGAAGGCCAATTAATATGTAAGGACACCAGTTAACAGGTAAATTTTTGTTTTGGTATTGAAAATTTCTGTATTTCTAAAATTTCAAAAATAAAGTCAAATTTCATTTGTGTCATTCTCATGATATTGCATTCATACAAGTTTATAAACGTATGATTTAATTGTTTCGAAGAATAAGTGTTTGAAACACATAATACTTATGATGCTTGATTATTCATGCAAACACATTATTTAAACACGTAATATCTATTTGAATGAATGCCGAGATATGGAACAAGCTGTTTTTATAGACTGCAGTTGTATTTCCAATCTGCCTAAAGTATGTGGTTAAAATTTCCATTTTCTCAATTTTTCAGACACTTTCCAATTATCGTACATCATATACATGGGTGGTCAAACTCACTGGATGGTTTATCAACACTCCCATGCTCATGAACAGCCTTGCCCCAGGAATTTTGCCCTGAGGTAACATTGCAGTCTATTGTCTCCATTCTTTTTACAACCCTGGCAGCCATGCAGGTATGCAATCTATGAAAGCCATGAAGGGACATAGAATTTTTTAAAATTTATAAAAGTAAACCGAGTTCTCGATTTATACAATCCGTTCTCTCGGATTGACAATCTTTCATAACAAATTGCCAATTCATTCTCACAGATTGTCAATTCGTTCCCTCAAATTACTCTTAGTTTAAATGATCCATTCCTTTGGAATATATATAAAATACATGGTTACTGTCATGAAATATAAGCGATATTTGGGCGAGGGTAAGAAAACGTGATAGAGGGCGAGGCTTATATTTCAAGACAGTAATAACCATGTATTTTGTTTATCCTGCAACAAAATTTTATATTTGAGCATCCAAAACATGCTTATTCCGACAGATTTAGGCACATCTCTGCAGTTGAAACTATGAAGCCATAGCGTAAACATTGCAGTGTACGTGACGTCACAATGCTTTTGGAACGTCGGAATACATGCACGAGGCTTTATTAGGGCAGTGACCGGATAAAGCTTCGGTTTATTAGGTTACCTTTATTAGGTCAATGCAAGGGGTAGTTGCAGGATAAAAACCCTTCCCATGATTTCATTAACTAAAAATTATTTAACTGTACATATCGGATATGGTAATACATGTGTACATGTTTAAAGAATAGAATATTGTAATATTTTACACCCTACCTTTTATTACATATTATGGTCCAAAATGAGAAAAATACATGAACATTTTCAAATCCATATGCTAGTACTGATATTTGTACAACAAAAAAATCTTAGAGGTTTTTGTGTTAAGTGTGTATTAGAATAATTGAAAGTCCTAAATAGTAAAAGTGAGTATGGGCCCTGTGTAATCATAATATTTCTAAAATAAATATATGTTGAATTAGTTATGAAAGAGGTTGGAAATGACCGGTTGCTGAAACAAAATAAATAGAACGCACAAATTGATTATAATGGTTGGATGTATCTGTACATATTTGTAATGAAATCCAAGAGCACAGATTGCCAAAATCATGAGACTGACGTTGTAACAAATCGAGTTCTCGAATTATTAATCTGTGAAAACGAATTACCAGTATGTAATTCGAGATCTCAAATTATGAATCAAGTGGGTGAATAAGTAATCCCTAAGATCGGATGGTGTAATTGGAGATCTCGAAATATAAATCGATGGAACGATTTAGTAATCCATGAAATTGGATTGTCTAATTCAAGATCTCATTTTTTACTTTTTTGAACATTGATGTGTCCCTTCATGGCTTTCGTAGCAATCTAATTAATCTAATTAAAATTAGATCTTCCATCCACTGCCAGATTTTTTTATATGTTGCTATAGCGTAAACAGAGGCTTTAGTCAGATTGCCATATATGCTATTTGTTTTAGTTTAGTAATTTTACCATGATGGTTTACTACGAGGTTGTTGAATTATCAGTCCTGATACTTAGCAATATCATTTAACTACTTGAATCATATAATAAATACAATATTAATTTTAAAAGGAAAATCAAATAAATGTAGTAATTTTAGCATTCTTAATTTTATTTATAAATGTAAATTCATATACACAATGACATGTATCTGTTTCAAAATACTTGAATCTTTTACAGGATAGAAGCTGATCACTTGTACTTGACAGCAAATAATAATGTCTTGGACAAGTCAAAGAATTTCCTCCAGTCTTACAGAGAAATGACAGTTGATAAAAGAATGGTGGACACAAAGTAAAAGTGCTCTTCAACATTTTGTTGAAGATTTCAGTCTGACTTTGAATTCATCTTGCAATATTTCTGGATTTGTATATATTATTTGGATATAAACGTCACATTTTCAACTTATTGACTAAACAGTTTTGCATTAAATATTGCCAATGCTATGTATTATTATGATTTACCTCCAAGATAACATGTCAAGTCTTTATTGTACCCCTTAAGCTCTGTTATACCACAAAAATCTTGTAATGAAATCAATTAGTTTATTTTTTCTTGTTAGATTAAATCCATGAAAATAAAGATTATTTTTAATGGCATCAAGAGAATGGATTTTTTTGTTTAACAAAAAGATTGTATACATGTTTTGCTAGGGGTTTGTAAGAAGCAGACCAGAATTCTTTGCTTGCAAATTTTGTCGTTTGCCATTTTTATCACGTCAAATATTAAATGTTTTATCCATGATTGAAGCGTTTCAAAATTGATATTTACTTACAATTTAAAGCAGAATTCTGTACTGATATGACCTTGACCCCCTTAAGAACAAGAGTCAAGGTCAATTTTTAATACAAAAATGTTATTTCATCTTTATGGCCCACATCTTGCATACAATATCATGAAATATACAAAAAGTGTCAAGAATGTATCCAGAATGTGAAATAACAAACATGTATATAGCCAAAAACTTTAAAAAGTTGTTGCTTAGCAACCACTTAAAGGTCATTAAACAGATATTTGAACTAATATGATGCATGGATATTGCAGCTCTGATCCCTTCTTGAGAGTATATTCAGAATTTTCAATTTCAGCATCCATTGTGTAAAATTATGGCAAGAATATTGAAAAGTGTTGAAAAAAAATGATGAAACTTTTGCACATATTTGACCTTTGACCTCCTAAAAATAGTTCTAATGAGGTCAAACTTTAAGACAATTTATCTGCTGTTCATCCCTTGTAATTCTATGACCTCACATCTAACTTTTATATGTGCTGGGATGCATAAATGTGTCTAGGATGAGTAATAAACGAAAATTCTTGCCCGAAAATAAAAAAATTCTGGGTTGCTAAGCAACCGCTTTTAAGTAGTTATATGCAGAATTGATAAAAAAGTTTATATGTTTTATGTAGTACAGTATCATGCTCTTTTGTGAGTATATTCAAAATTTCCTATTTCAACATACATCATAGTAAATATTTAGCTTGAAGATTAAAAAGTATCAATAAATCCCATAAAATTTTGCACTTAATTGACCTTTGACCTCTATTTTTACTAATAAGGTCAGTTGTTGAGTATCTGAATAGTCTAAAAATATCATCTCTAAGACATTCCCTATAAAATGGTATGCAATATACCTAGCTTTCTCCTTGAATAAAAAAGTTGGAAATAATTTAATAATGTCATATCAAAAAGTCTCCAAAGTCACCTAAAATGTGCCGGTAGAGAAAGGGTTAAGATTATTTTCTATTTTAATCCATTTTTTCCAAACTTTACTTAATAAGTATATATAGCATAATTTTATATACATATATGGTGTACATTTTTTTGAGATGGAATTATTGTGACTATTCGTCAAGAGTCGAATGGTTTGTCGCTACAATTTGAGGGTACGAGAGAACGAAGCGAAGGCACAAGAGGCGACAGCTCACAGGAGAGGGGAAATCATTAAATTGTTTAGAATCCCCCGACCATCCACTCTCTGACACTGTATTCCTCACCCCTCCTCTACTCCCCTCGCATTCTAGTTCCCTAAAGAAGCAACGTTTCTCGGTTTCGCGGAGGAAAAGAAATGTGTTAATTACCGATCCGAGTTTTTATGTTTTACTTGTAGTTCGTTTTTCAATCCTTGTTTACAATTTAATGCTTTGACGTCAGGGAATTTAGGCATCTTTTTATTGCAGCTCTGATCCCTTCTTGAGAGTATATTCAGAATTTTCAATTTCAGCATCCATTGTGTAAAATTATGGCAAGAATATTGAAAAGTGTTGAAAAAAAATGATGAAACTTTTGCACATATTTGACCTTTGACCTCCTAAAAATAGTTCTAATGAGGTCAAACTTTAAGACAATTTATCTGCTGTTCATCCCTTGTAATTCTATGACCTCACATCTAACTTTTATATGTGCTGGGATGCATAAATGTGTCTAGGATGAGTAATAAACGAAAATTCTTGCCCGAAAATAAAAAAATTCTGGGTTGCTAAGCAACCGCTTTTAAGTAGTTATATGCAGAATTGATAAAAAAGTTTATATGTTTTATGTAGTACAGTATCATGCTCTTTTGTGAGTATATTCAAAATTTCCTATTTCAACATACATCATAGTAAATATTTAGCTTGAAGATTAAAAAGTATCAATAAATCCCATAAAATTTTGCACTTAATTGACCTTTGACCTCTATTTTTACTAATAAGGTCAGTTGTTGAGTATCTGAATAGTCTAAAAATATCATCTCTAAGACATTCCCTATAAAATGGTATGCAATATACCTAGCTTTCTCCTTGAATAAAAAAGTTGGAAATAATTTAATAATGTCATATCAAAAAGTCTCCAAAGTCACCTAAAATGTGCCGGTAGAGAAAGGGTTAAGATTATTTTCTATTTTAATCCATTTTTTCCAAACTTTACTTAATAAGTATATATAGCATAATTTTATATACATATATGGTGTACATTTTTTTGAGATGGAATTATTGTGACTATTCGTCAAGAGTCGAATGGTTTGTCGCTACAATTTGAGGGTACGAGAGAACGAAGCGAAGGCACAAGAGGCGACAGCTCACAGGAGAGGGGAAATCATTAAATTGTTTAGAATCCCCCGACCATCCACTCTCTGACACTGTATTCCTCACCCCTCCTCTACTCCCCTCGCATTCTAGTTCCCTAAAGAAGCAACGTTTCTCGGTTTCGCGGAGGAAAAGAAATGTGTTAATTACCGATCCGAGTTTTTATGTTTTACTTGTAGTTCGTTTTTCAATCCTTGTTTACAATTTAATGCTTTGACGTCAGGGAATTTAGGCATCTTTTTATTTATACCGTAATCGACATTTTAATCACAACTGTGTTATTAAAACAAGAACATTTCTTTTGATGACTATGATTATCAAAACACTGCATAACGCTCTTGCACAATTTATTGACAAACTTAGAATTTTTATGTTTTCAAAATCTCCAGTAAATGATAGGCGTTTCATAATGAAGACGGTTTTATGTGTTTTATTACTTTTGACATTAAAAGATGCCCGTAAGTGTTCAAAGGAATTCGGTTTATAGAATAAAAAACTGAATACATCTGATGAATTTTACATGATAAATTATGCTAGTACCCTGACCATTAAATATTTTTGATCTTCGATTCAAAGTTCTCTTTCAGTAGAAATGAAATATGGTAGGAATCGACATTTGATTCTTTTTTTTTCTTTCATTTTCAATTATTTTTATTAAAGTTTTATTTTTTCATTTTTATAATATTATTTTTTTTTTTTTGTTAAGACAAGTTGCTGAGTCATTCCTAATTTTTTAGTTTCCATATATCTTGATTGAGGAAGGTGAAAATATAAGATTTTTTCCCTATACGATTGAATGCAGAAATGCTATTTAAAGCAAATCAATCGTAATGCGTTACTTTGATTTTTTTTTTCCAATTTTGAAAAAAATAATTGTAAATAGACGTTTTAAGGTCACTATGCCATTTACCTCCAAGGATATTTTTAAACAGAATTTTTAGGTTGATTCATTTGGGATTTTAATGAAATGCAGATCTTACTGATTAAATGCATGTAGTACATTACTAATGGACTAGGTTTTGTAATTAAAAACGTCAATAAGAAAGGCTTTTAAAGTCTGCAGCTTGGATTACGTAAATTTTGAATCATCCAACTGTCACTGAACTCAAAGAATCTTAAGGCAGTATGCGATTCCTAACCATATATAATCTTATGAAATGAAATGCAGTCTAATTCCCAATGAAAGGGGTAAAGATAAGACCATCTTTCAAACAATTGTTTGCTTGCCCTCTCCCGACTCAGAGTAAAATTATTGGGTCGGTATGTAGGTGTGAAAATTTTTTCCCCCAGGAAATTTCAACATACCGGTATCTGTTGAGGTATATGAGATATAAAAAATATCGTGTCCTGGAATGTATAAAAAAAGTTTTGAGTCGGGCCGTTTTTAGTCAGTCGGTCGGGAGAGTAGAACCAAGCAATATTTTTAAAGATGGCCTAACGAACAGTGATAAACAGTCATGAAAAACTACAAACAATACAAAATGGCGAAAAGGACAAAAACACGGATCCTTGGAAGTTCCAGAGGTGCTATTAAATGCCTCAGAGAAGTAAGTATCCCATCATGTTGACCGGTCCCATCCGCATTTAGTCGATCCTATGTATTATAGACGGAACAATTTTAGTCAAATTTAGTACAAAAACAACATCTTTACAAAAGGTAGGGAACAAGTTAGCCAAAATATATAATGTGACCTAAATGATAGCTTATATTTGCTAATAAGGTAATCTTAAGACTTCGGAATTTACAAAATGCTGACTTTACATTGGCGTCTGAAGCAATTTGAAAGTGGGGGGGGGGGGCTAAGTATAAAAAAAAAATTATATCTTCAATAAAAGCTGAGAAGCAAAAAAAAAAAAAAGAAAAAAGGAAGATGTCCACTTCCCAAACAGAAAATCCTATTTCGTGGGGGGGGGGGGGGGTGTTAAAGATTCGAACTTCAGTACCAAAATTTTTTCCAAACACCACCACTTTCCCCATTTTTGTCCCCCGCTTGAAAAGTGGGGGATATTAATTTGGGTTTGTCCGTCCGTCCGTCCGTCTTTCTGTCTGTCTGTAACGCTTTCGTTTCAACACGATATCTCAAGAACCCTTTGAGCTTTTGCAATAAAATTTAGCATAGCAACTCCCTATGGCCTATTGATTTTGAGGTCAAAAGGTCAAAGGTCAAGGTCATAAATAAGCAAATTCTGTCTGTTATAATACTTTCGTTTCCACACGAAATATCTAGAACCGTTTGAGCTATTGCAATGAAATTTTACATAACAACTCCCTGTGGCCTATTAATTTTGAGGTCAAAAGGTCGAAG